CTGGTGACTCAAGCCAACTGACTTTTGACAGTGTGTAGGATTTTCTTGCTTATTACATTATTTCCTTCCAATTTCCTCAAAATAGGTCAAGCTCTGTGTAAGACACTGAATTCCCCACATCAGCCATGAGTGGCCGGGGTCCAGGCTCCTCGGTAGTTCTTCAGGGGAGTGACTGCCGCAGAGCTTCCCTCTCCCATCTCCGCAGCGAGCCGAGCTGTGTGGTAATGCTGGCCATGGGACTTCACATGATGCCGTTTCCTCACTGCTAACATTTACGCTCTACACATACCACTTCCCAGGAACACCAGCAGAGCTATCTCAATGATCACTTCAGATGTATTGATTACAAAGGCTTTTTCTGTGTTCCCAAAATTTTGATTAACAAGAAAGTAAAAATAACAAGTAATTTTCTCTGTAAATTTATCTCATTTTTATTGACCCTGATTACTTATTGATCTTTCCACTTGTACAGCTGTATCCATAGCCATGGAAGCACCCTCTGTTCTTGGCTGTCATGGCTCATAATTCTTCTCATGTGTTCATCAGCATTTATTTAAATGTTTATCTTTCCTGGACTGGTTGCTTCCTGCTGCATTGTGTCATGGAAGATATCACTAGAAATCCACTTAAAGAATTATCCCCAACCAAGCCAGGGATCTTATTATCTCTCCAGTTTGATAATGATCAAAAAGTAATGAGCAATTACTTTTGGAGGAGTCTTTTTTTTTCTTTTTTCCCTGACTTGCCTGTATTTCCTTGCGCCCTCGCCCCCAGCTCCCCTCTGCCACCGCCCCTTCTGCAGGCGTGCAGGTGGCCCCAGCAGCTCGGCCTTTGAAAGGCAGAGTCTGACAAAAGCAAGCTTCATAAAATGCAGCTTTATTGAAACTCAGCCATTAAAATATTGTAAATTCCACTGGGGAGTTTGTTGTGCAGAGAGAAAATGACAACAGCCGAGCAATGGGAGAACAACCAGTGCTGGTACTTTGGGAACAGATTCTTCCCATGCTTGCCTTCACTTTAATATCTGGTTTGCAATTTTATTTTTTATAATACCATAAATTTGAATACAGGACTTAAAACTGAAATCAAAATGCACCTTTCCTTTTTATTACACAGATTTTTTACTCACAGATTTTTTTTTTTAAATTTCAGGGGTTGATTCATAGAAGAAAAAAATAAGAATTTTTGACATTTTACTGTCCTCTGTTAAAAAGAATAGACAAATAACACAAGCACTATGGCAAAACTCGAAGACAAAAGACAGCAACTAGCCCTGGTGGGTCCCTGTGGGCAGGGGGGGGTCCCTGCGATGGGCTGCCTGACGCCGTGCCAGGGCACAGCTCACCCGGCCGTGCTGCAGGAGAGGCAGCGAGGCTCCTGCCTGCTGGTGGGGACGGGGCTGCGCTCCGGGGGCTGCCACCAGCTCTGCACCATGCAGGGGGATAGCAGATTCTGACCTAGGGCAGCTTATTTTTTCCACGTTGCTTGAAACGTTCAGGATTCAAGCCATGTATATTCATGCCAGAAGACATAAGTTGATTCCTGAATAAGCATAAACCCACAGAACTACCTCTTAAAGTGGATGTGAAGCAATTTGCCAGTTGTCCGTGTGGCAGCTGACAGCACTGTAAATCCATCTGGGTGCCTGGAATCCCCCTTTTCACCTAGCAAACATGTTCATCTGTACCCTTCTGCATAAACACCTTACTTTTTTTTTTTTTTTTTTTTTCCATGTTTTTTATTTGTTTTTCAAGTACTTCAGCAATTTGGGGCTGTTAAAGAAGTTTTGTCTGAAGAAAGAAGACAAATTCTTTGTCTAAAGAAGTTTTAAAGAAATTGTATGTGTCAGGTAAGGAAAACTGCATCCGAAACATCTGAATTTCAGAAAAGGGAAACAGAAAAAGTGCAAGGCAGAATTATGAAGTGATTTGAGCCTTTCCTTTCATACCATCTTGTGACAAACCTGGGCATGTCTGGTTCATTTGCACCAAAGCAAGTTAAAGTGAGCACCATTGCAAGGTAAATAATTACGCATTTGTTCTGTGCAGCTGTGAGAGGCCAGGCGTTTATTTCCAGCAAGGAAGGCCGTGTCTCCCCCGGTCAGTACGATTTGCCAGGATCCTGGGCTCCACAGGGGCTGTGTGGCAGCCAGCTGCGTGCAGCAGCGCTCCTGTTAGCTTGTGCCTTGGCTGCAGTATTACTGAAATCTTGTGGCGCTGGAAAAGCTGTGCAGTAGCAAGTGAGGGGATGTTTCAAAGCCTGGCTCACATGCAGTTGCTTCTGAAAGAGCACAGACTGCAGTGTTTGCAGAAATTAATCCCTGCTTCAGAGTGCTTTCACCTTACTGTGCTGCACCAGTTTGATGTTGCTCTCCTGCAAGGTGGCATTTCAAACGATACACATAAAATTAAACAGCTAAAATCTGAGACCTGAGGTTTGCTGTAATGCGCATCCAGAATAATTTAACGCTAGAGACTGGAGAATATTAAAGTGTTTTTTGTGGTCAACATTGGATTGATTTAAATATTGTGAATATGTTTAATGGTATTTAAATTATTTTTTGCACAGACTTAACCGCTCTAATAAGATAAGAATATTTTGAAGAACTTATATACAAGAATAATTTATAGGGCTGCTTTGTTCTGCGACGCACAGTAAATCACTGTGATTGGATGGAAATGATGTTTGAAACTGTTCTACTTGGGGGCTGTTATAACAATGCAAACTACTTCTGAAGGACAGTAGGTGAATTTAATTCAGTTTGTATCACCACATTCATGATTTAAAGTTCCTAAATGGCAAAAAACAAATTTATTTTTTCTACCAGGAGAATATTTTAAATCACCTTAAATACCAGAAGAGATTTATTCCAGTTTATGGGATCCCATAATTAGCACTGTAGAATACAGAAAATGTTCCTGGATAACATCACCAGTTCCCAGGGATAAGTTAAATAAATACAATTTCTGTATTTTATTTTTTTTTGTCCCACTGTCACCATGAGCACTGGAGCTACCAACCCCCCTTTTCCAGAAGCTGGTAGCTGACAAAACTACCTGTGCAGTGCACTTGAGATATGTCAAGGAATATAAGATAGGTAGATAGTTTTTTCTTCTCCCTTCCCTTCCCTTCCCTTCCCTTCCCTTCCCTTCCCTTCCCTTCCCTTCCCTTCCCTTCCCTTCCCTTCCCTTCCCTTCCCTTCCCTTCCCTTCCCTTCCCTTCCCTTCCCTTCCCTTCCCTTCCCTTCCCTTCCCTTCCCTTCCCTTCCCTTCCCTTCCCTTCCCTTCCCTTCCCTTCCCTTCCCTTCCCTTCCCTTCCCTTCCCTTCCCTTCCCTTCCCTTCCCTTTTTTAATTACTTTTCAGTTCTGTTTTCCCTCCCTTATGGAAAACCATGTCAGCAATCTGTAGCAGCCACCCACTGAACTGCCCAGAAGCCCACGCTTGGTGGGAATGGGATAGCCCCTTGCTCCCGCTGTCTCCTGGGGTGTCTGTTCTTTCCCTGACTTCAGCACCGTGGTTTCACACCCCCGACAAGGGCTCTTCTCATCCCCTCTGACAGCGGTTCTGCTGTGCCCTGCAGGAACCAGCACGCGTCCAGCCCCACTGCCTCCGCCTCGGCCCCATCAGCTCTGCTCTGCAGGGCTCCGTGGGGCTCCATGGGGCTCTGTGGGGCTCTGTGGGGCTCTGTGGGGCTCCGTGGGGCTCTGTGGGGCTCTGTGGGGCTCTGCAGGGCTCCCTCCCTAAGACTCCTCCACCCCTGCTGCCGGAGGTCAGGCTGCGGTACGGGGGCATGGGCACGCAGCCCACCCATGAGCAGCAGTGTGAGGGGACTCCTGGAAAATGGCAATGACAGGAGCGTATTTCACATCTCTTCCTGCTTTGTGACCTGCTGCCATTAAAAATAACTTACAAAATTTAGCTACCTCTCTGTTCAAACAAGCACTATGTTCCTGTTATACAGGGAGACAACAGGCTGGGTCACCGTAAAAGTATCTCTCTCGGAAAGAGCACTAAATTTTGATTACAGCCATCAGAAGATCAAGAAGAGTCCACTGTTACAGGGATTCACTATTCTCTCTCAAAAACTGTGCTTTACACCTGCTTTAACTATCACTTGAGTACAAAGCCCCAGTGCTTTCAGAGAGAAACCTTTCCAGAGATTTAGGGGACTTCATTCCAGCAGGAGACAGCACAAGAACAAATTCAAAATTCGTATTCAAAATTAGAAACACATTTTTAACAGCGTGGTTGATCAAACACAGAACAAACTGCTTTGGAAGTGGTGGAGAATCTGCCCATTGGCATCACTAAATCAGGACAGATTGTTTTTAAGATGATATGCTTGATCTAAACACAACCTGTCAAGTGTGATACAGGGCAAGTGCTGAAATCAAATACCCTGTCACACAGCGAAGGTCGTATAAGCTGAGATAACAGCTCCTTCCTACAGGACATGAAGGCAGAAGACAGCGCAGCTGCTCCTGCATGACAGAGTTCCCTGTATTACGAGTCACGTCACTTCCATCCCATCTCAAGACTTCAGGTCTGTTTTTTTTTTTTTTTTTTTTTTTTTTTTTTTTGTGTGTGTGTGTGTGTATGTGTGTGTGTATGTTTTATTTTCCACAGCCTTTTTTGAGGGGCTGGCAGGAGAAATGGCTTCACTGACCAGCTGCTAGCAAAAGGATGCAGAAATCGTGCTTTAAAATCAGGAGGCAGCGGCAGCGTAAAGCCGACACAACGGCTGCTGCGAGGCTTGCTGGCAAACTCCTGTGATGCTCAGGTGTCACACCAAGCGTCCCGGGCTCCAGCCAGCATCCAGAAGAGCCCCTGGGCTCTGCTGCCTGCGTGGTGCAAAGCCTGACAAGCGAGACCACAGCACTGCAGGGAACAGCAGTCTCACAGCTTCTGCTATAGAGAGGGAACTGTCGGCTTAAGCAAGGGCTTGGTAAAATCCTGTCCTGGCTGAATCCCCTCCCAGCCCGACAAACTGGCAGACTGCAGTTAGCTCTTTTGAAGACATCTTCTTGGGTGCACCAGTGCAGCAGAGGAAAAGGGAAGCAAAAAGCAGCTAGGCTCCAGCTGTACAGGGGGGGGGCAAACGAGATAGGTTCTTGGGTCCCAGGTGCTGCCCATGGCTGGGACCCGCAGCTGGGTTTCTGCAGCACACAGGATCCATCCCAGCCACTGCCTCATGCAGCAGCTGCGTAACTACCTTGATATTTTGGCATTATATATATATATTTATTTATTTATTTATTTATTTTTCCTGAAGCAAATCTTCCACTTCTGTTGTTATCTGCTTCTTACATGTTATGCTATTAGGATTTGCATTTACAGGTTTGTGCTCTTCTTAATTGCATATGTAGCCTTCTAAGTGCCTTAACAGAGGGACGCCTTCTAGATAAAATAATTATAATCAAATAAAAATAAATACTCATTACCTAAATAGCATATACAACAAATAGAACCTTTCCATTTAAAGGCTAAGTGACAAGCTTAATGATGAATGATATAGACTAATTACAGGTTTCATAACTCATTAGCATCAAAATGCAAAAATGCTTTAAGGCAAGATAAATTGGTCAGTATAGCCCTGCAGTTGCTTGTCCCAGCTAGCCTGACGATCAATGGCAGATGCAAAGGCAATAGCAGATTTGTGCTTTTTCTGTCCCATAACCAGTATTTCTGAAGGCACGACTGCTGGCATCCCTGCACCGGTGATGCTGGGGGCTGCTCCCGGTGCCCTCTGGCTGGGGGGAGCAGCCCATCCTGCCTGCAGATGTGCTCCCTCCTGCTTGTGCCCATCCATCGCTGCAGCTTCTTTCATGCAGGCAGTGCACACAGCATCCACCCTGAATTATTGATGGGGCTGCTTTATCATTTGGACATCTTCTCAACAGGGTGCAAGGTCAAGCCGATAAAATCACTGCACAGCAGCACCACAGCCTGCCTCACAACTCGTCTTGTGGATGGTGAGCTGGAGATACTCAGTGCTGTCAAATCTGCTCAATACTGAGAAAAGAGAGCAGAAATACGCTGCTAACTTTATTCCATCACTTTTGGGCCATGTAGGAAAGCCTCAGGGTATTTTGGATATGTTACTGGGTTTGTTTGATTGTTTTTAATTACTTTTTTATTTTATATTACTTTATTTTACTTATGTGCAGGAGACCTACAAACAGACATATCAGCATGGATGATTCAAGGGAGGGTTGAAACAGTAGAGAAATTCCCTGTCGGTGTAGCTTCAGCCCTGCTGAGCACACGGGGCAGCACAGCCAGAGCAGGCGGGGCTGGTGCTGACCAGCACCATGAGTAGAAATCCCAGAATGGGCTCACAACGTTACTGCCCCAAGGTACTGCTGGCTGTGGGCTGCAGGATCATCCCACAGAACTTTATGGGTAGCATCACTGTGAAGGTCTGCAGGAGACACAGACAATCATCCATCTGTAGCAGACTGAGGTAACCTCCTGACAACCCCACCAGGAAGGATGCTCCTTCAGCTGCTGCTTGGCCAGCTGCGACATTGCCAAACCGCTCCACACAGATGACTCAGGACAAATGACAAAAGCAAACTTTTGAATTCTATAATACTTCCATTGAGCTGATCAAAATCTCCTGCATAATGTGAAGATAAACTCAGAACTTCATAGAGAGATTTGTCCGGCTAAGAGACATCCTACCAACTGGGAGATGTATTTGGGAGAGAAAATGTTGCATGAAACCTACCACACCTGTGGCAAGTGATGTCATATGTGATATGCATGAGGACCATCCTTTCTGTCCTGCTTTATGTGGTCTTGTTAGACAAGTATGTAGATATGTTTAGCTGAAAAGGGTTCTGAAGTGTCCAGTGAAAGCTGCTTATGGTCCTGAAGCCTCTACTCCTGCTTAGCCCCTGTCCGTGGGCACTAACTGCTCCTCTGCCCACTCCAGCACTGTCTTTCTCGACCATGAGGACTGATAAAACAGTGACACAGTACTTGGATGTAGATTTACTACCTACTTCACTTCCTACAGTGACTCTGTCCTTAAGACATACTGCCAATTTAAACAAAACATACTGCCATTTCAGACAAAACCAAAACACAACACAGATTAGAAAAAAAAATAAATAAATAATAATTAAACTCAAAATAAAGAAGAAACATAATACAGAGCCACTGCCTACTATGTCCCAATTTTAGCTTTATTTATAGGAGATGCTGTTGTAAAATTAAACCTTCAGATAATTCACATGGAAAGGCAAGTCTTATGGAAACATTAATTGCTTACTGTTATAGCTTATTTTTATCATGTTGTCTTGTTACTCTAATTTGTTAGGCAATATCCGTAAAGCTTTGATAGCAATGAGGCACAAATCCTAAATTTCCACAGCATATGTGGAAGTGCTGTCTGTGAGAGCCTGTAGCATGGTGCAGGTAAGATCAGGCAGAGGAGAGCTGAGGAGAGCTCTGCAGTTCTGCTTTCATTTAAAACGAGCGGAGAGGACATTTCTGATCCACGACACCTGGAAACACTTCAAGTCTTCTTTTCTCCTCATTTAGTTTAACCTTTTGAAATTATGAGCTTTTTATTGGGCTGGGGGGGAGGTAAGGGAATCGAACTTGTGGCTTTTTTGAACATTGCAGGGCCAAGCTGTGAGCCGGGCAGGCCGTGTGCCCAGCTGTGGCGGCAGGCGGTGCCTTGTTCTACACGGCCCATGGGCGCCCAGGCCGCAGCCATGGCCGGGCCTCGGGCCTGCAGCGCCCGGCTCCCTGCGGCCTGGCAGAGGCACAAAGAGGACATGAGCAGGGCGGTGTGAGGACACCACAGAGCACCTCTGGAGCACGGCACAGGAAGCGATTCCTCAAGGAGGAGGGACAGCGGGTCAGGTCCTCCTGCCCTGAGGCCGCTGGCCTCCTGTGCTCTGCGGGGCATGGGGAGCACCAGGAGGCCCTCGAGGTGCGGCTCCTGCTGCTGTGCTGCTCAGGAGGGAGAAGGCCCCGAAAGCAAAAGCTCCCTTAAATGATTTACCCTCCGAGTGCTTCTGGCGTGTGCTGCTGCACTGTGTGCTTCCCTAGGGAGCAGCAGGCAGAGAAACTGCAGCCGGGAGTGGTGCCAGGCTGGCCAAGATGGAAAGGGAAGATCTTTCCCTTGTTTGCCAAATAAAATAAATAAAATAAAATAACCTGGCCCTCTCAGACTGTGAAAGCTTTGAGCCTGTGGGCCTTGTGAACAGAGACATCTTGCATCAGTTTAATGGGTTGCTGAATAACCGCTGTGAGATGACTGATTGAAATTCTCTGTAACATATATAGAGATATCTAGAGATAAAACAGCCTTAAAAACATGGGGGGAAAAACAACAAAAGCAAAGTAGTTGAATGAAATTTGCTCATGACAGCTGCTCGGTGCTGCACTAACTGCTCACTACTGATGATGTATGCTTCAGCACATGATTGTGTTTCTTCAACCCTACTTCTAAGATGCAGCAAAAATAACATAAGAGAATACTCATTAGCCACAAAAACCCTTGTTTGCATGCAGATACGGATGAGCATTTGCATATAAATAATCCATTCCTCAGACTTTTCTGGGAAGAGAGACCTACTTTTATTGGTGTTTGTGACTACTGCATAGGAAGGGACATGGTCAGGCTGAAATGCAGCAGCTGTCTGGGCTGAACAGATGTTCAGGAAAACCACTCTGCAGTGTGACCAACTCTAGCAATTAAACAGAGCATTTGGACCTTGGGAAGATGCAAACAACTTCAAGTATTCCACACTGCATCTCAGTATTTCATGTCTGCCTCCTTTCAAAGCCGTATCAGTCAGAAAATATGCTTGCAGCCTAAACCTAAGTCCTTGTGGGTGACTGATAAAGCACTTCTTATTTGAGAATTTTCTTTTCCAAAAGAAAACAGGAAGGTTGACTCCTTATTGTTTTTAATATCTAAAAAGCAATATTTTATTTATATATATATATATATATATTATTTTTTTTTTTTGCTGAAGATTCAGAGAATGTTGATTTCTTTTCATACTGATGCAATAATGACATGCATGATACAATGATTAATCAGTCTTCTAGCTACCATTCACTTCCCTTGATACGTAGGCTGGGTAGCAAAAAGCTACAACAAATTTAGAAAGGATGAATCTATTTAGCCCTAGTAGAGTCATTTCACTGTTCAGCACCACTTTTTTTTTTTTTTTTTTTTTTTTTGTGGTAAGCTTCATTTTCTATGGACTCCTGGCCAATGGAGAACTGATACATATGACCATCTTTTAAACACTATTAACATGATGATGTAACAAACTTAGAGAAGCCCATTAATTCAAATATACCTAATCAAAAAGTCATGCAAACTAAATTAGATATACAGTTAGAGCAAGGGATGCCATCTGTTCAAACTTTCTAAGGGCTAAAGTAACTGAGATGAAGCCAATTTCAGTAGGCAATAATAAAATTATGCTGCAGAATTACAGGCTCTATGTCTCACAGTTTATTCCCCTTTCCTTAAATTATTATCCTAAATCATATGAATACAATTACCTTCATCTATACATTACCTGATCTGCCTTCTTTTTGACTATTAAATGTAACAACCTTTGTCAGTGAAATGTAGAACAGAAGTCTTATAGCTGCTGAAATGGAGTAAGAAAATGTCTCATTAATTTCCTGACAGCAGTAATTTCAAATATTTTATATGCTTTCTCTAAATGGTCACCACTTGCTCGATACAAGCAAAATAGACGTAAATTGTACATCTGACCCTTGCATATAATGTGTCCAGTGCTGCTGTGTGATGTGACGCTTTGGCACAAATGTTATGAGCCTTACATTGATAAGCACCACATTTACCCCAACAAAGGAAATGCTTGGGAAAGTCCTAAGTCAAAAAACTCTTTCCTGTTAACAGTTCACTGTTTCAGACTTATAAAAAGGCACTGGAGTAGCCCACACCTGGAGGGCAGCCCTGCACCCCTGGCACCATGCTGAGCCACAAATCACTGCCCATGGGAGGGCGGCTCCTGCAGCGAGGGGAGGCATCTCAGCTGCGTCTGCTTTTTGCAGTAGTGGGGGCACTGAACATCCCTGCCTCAGCCAGTGTTCAAGCACTGCCCCTCTTGAAGACAGCATTATATCTCTGAGCCAATTTTGGCTGAGCAAGGTCTCTGCTGTGGCACTGGGACAATGGGGTTTGGGATGTGGGCTTTGGTGGGCACTCACAAACGTGGGGTGATGGTGCATCACTCATCCTCATCTCCTTGCCTGCTGAATCTATGCACCAATGAGTGATAAGGGTATCTTGTCAAAAATCCATTTTCTTCATGGAAATTAAATAACCAGGTAGAAGCCCAGTCCTGCTCTATCTAATACTGGGAGAAAAGGCCGGTTTCCTGATACAGCTCCCTGGTCTGGGCTTGGTGTGTCTCTCTAGCACTGCTGCAAACCCCTTGGGCATGGATTGGGATTCAAATCAAGCCAAAGGAAAAGCCCAGCAGCCATTCTGTTTTGAAGGGTGAGAGGTTTTAAAGGTATGGGCATCGGCCGTGGCATGGCAGCTCGTGCCAGAGGACAGACCTGGGACGTTGGATTTGAGAGGGCAAGCACAGGCGTTGTGTCCAGGTTCGGCTGTGCACTGCCTTGAAAACACTGTGCTCCCTCAGGCTGGTGCAGGTCGTGCACTTCTGGGTAAGGAGCTATTTAGGCTCAAGAGCAGGCAGCAGCCATACATGTGTAGAACTCTAAATACTGTTGCAAACCTGTACATGTGGAGTGAGTAGGACACAGAGCCCTGAGTCCAGGAAAATAAATTCATGGATATATTAATATAGTCATAATATAATGTTTGTTATGTAATATTCATTAATGTTCATTAATATACATCAATATGATAATATATCAATCATATAAGAATAATTTGTTAATATGATACTAATAATATAATAATAATAATGTAACACCAATAAAACAAACAAGCATTTCTAGCATCGAGTCAATATGCACTTTCTGTTTAAACTGGGCTTAGCAATGTTGGCCTCATTAAAAATAATTTGATTAAAACAATATCTTTCTGGAAAAATGACAACCAAGTCATAAAACACGCCACAGAGCAGGGCCATGCTGCCGTTAGGAACGTGGGCTCGGTTGCTGACCGGGGCAGGCTGCCCAGGAGCCGTTCACCCAGACAGGGCTGTGCTGCCAGGGGGATGCTCCCAGGAGTGCCCGCGGGCTTTGTCCCTGATGCAGGCGGTTTGTCCCGGTGTCCACACGTGGGGACCCACACAGCTGCGCTGATGCATTTACATCACATGGCAAAGGTCAGGGAAATAAATGGTGTTTCTAAAAGATGCTATATACCAGTGAAATGACCCTGCTGCTGGCCAAAGAGGCTGTGGACGTGCTGCGAACAGAGGAATTGCAGGGACATGTGGGGCGAGGGCAAACAGGCAGCAGCTGCAACGCGCTGTGCATCGCCCGTGCCCTGCAGCACCCAGTGTGCAGCCCCTGTGCTCGCTGCCTGCCTCAGGGCTGGGGCTTGTCCTGCACTGCAACCTCCAGCCAAGGCTGCGGCTCTGATAAAAGCGTGCAGAGGGAAACTTCTTGTAACGTGAAAAGGAAACAAAGAGAAATGGCGAGCTCATATTCTTTTCGATTTCTTTCCATTCTACTGTATTCCCGTTGGTATTTACATTTCTGCCCAATAATGAGATTTTCTTATTTTTTTTTTCTTTCATCTACTCATGGATATTTTTTCCTGGTATTGGCTCAATTGTACTTTCTTCAAAGTTAGAAAAAAAAATAGGAAATAAATAGGAAAAAAAAAAAAAACACAAAACAAAACTATGACAAAAATCCCTTGAGTTATTTCTTTCACCGAGCTTTGAAAAAGAAAGGAAGGGAGAAATCACACTTCAAAAGCTGGAGGGATAGCATTCATTTCCGAGTCTAGGAATATGTGAATAAAGAAGAAACTTTTCAGAGATTGATTTTGCTACTGAGCTCTTGAT